CCGCTCCCAGAGGCTGCGACCATGCACAGATGCGTACCCCAAAGCTCTTTCAGCCATAGCAGACGCTTAAAGATTGATTCAGTCGGATAATAAAAAACGTGCATTTGTGTAGCACCTTACAGTTTCCAAAAAGCCTTCATCATCTGATCCGTTTGTATTTCTTGTTTGGCTCTGTGGGAGTGGCCGGGGGGCTTTCCCTGACCTGAGTACCATGTTGGGCGGTTTTTGCAGTGAGAACCCTGGCTCCGGTGTTCCATTGCCAAGCCTCATTCTCCCCACTGCATGGCAGGTCTCGGGGAAATGCCGAGCCTTCTCACAGGAGAACAGTAGCATGCCAGCCTTGGAGAGCTGCCTTTCACTACCGTTCATATTTAAGATGTTCTCTTAGGAGGAGTGCTTGTGGGAGTAGCACACTAGACAGGGCCCTTCCCTGTAACAGTCTTCCAGTCAACATCCCACTTGTAAGAATGATATTTATGTGCAGGTGAGGGAAGGGCGGAAAGATATGCACAAAAGCACCTGGGCCGCCTTCTGAGACTCTTAGGCTCTTAGCATTAGACATCCAGACGCAGGGGGCTGGGATGGAAGGGAGTGGAAGGAGACAGACATCCTTCGAGGGGCAGATGTGGGTACAGGAGGCTGAGGCATGCTTCCCCTGAGACTGTGGGCTACTCTAGACTCCCCAGGAGTTCGCAGGCAATGCCTGGGTGGCCACAGGCTGCTCTCCACGAAAGTGCCATCTCCATTAGGCCTGGAGTCTGGGAGAGAGCACAGCGTTCTGTCTGCCTGCGGTCCCTGGTGGCCCTCAGCCCCTCTGAGCGCATTCATTCTCCGTGCTGTTCTGATGCCACAGTCTGAGAGCTGGCAGCTGGGAGCACAGGGGACCCAGGGGGTTTAGGGCTGCGTGTTCCATGTTCCCCCTGGGGCACCCGGGTTTGCTGCTTGAGGCTAAGTTCTTCCCAGTCCGGTCCCTGAGCGGTGGGGATACGAAGGCTCTGCTGGGCCAGGCAGAGGGAAGGCTCAGTTCTGTTGACAAGCAGGACCACCACCACCACTGTAGTCTGAGGGGCAGCCCTCCCCTCGCCCCAGCTTTCTGAGCTTCAGGAAGGAAATGAACAAATGGCAGGTGTGCAGGCCAAGTAGGGCTGCTCAAATTAGCTGTGTTGCTAAGGAAACAAGTCAACCATTGGAAGGAAGGAGCTTTGGGTAAAGGAGATAAATCAATAAGTGGACCTATTTTTATCATTTCCCTAATGATTGTCTTAGAGCTGCTAGACAGGAAAGAAAGTTGGAGCAACACAGGTCCTCATTAGCAGGCTCAGGGGGAGAGAGGAGTGAAGGGGTGTTGGGGGGAGGTTGCCAGGAAAGTTTATGAAATGAGGCGGGAGCAGCAGAGACAGATAAGGGAGAGGAGGTATTTTTTGCAAGTTTCAAAGCACTTTCAAGGCCATTCCCTCATTGGTCTGGTCCCTTTGTTCTACCGTGTTTGATCCTCTGAGGAATCCTGTACTGATTTCCATGACCCTCAGGGTGGGGTGGGTTTTTGTATTCATTGTTTTCTTTTTCAGAATACATATCACTCTAAGTGATTTTATAATCAGAAATGAATGCATGCTCATTTTAACACCCAGACAATGCATAAAGGAGTAAAGAAGAAAGTGAAAATAACTCCACTACCCCAAGAAAACTCATCCTCCTTCTAGCAAGACAGATCTTTTTCCTTTGTCTTTTAAAAAATTTTTTAACATAGATTGTGTGTGTGTGTGTGTGTGTGTGTTCAAATGGGTAAAAGTGTGGAGAAGGTGCAGGGTACCTTTTGTGGACATACCTCAGGCTCTGGTTTTCCTGTGCTGTTGCTGAGTGCCCCCTGTGTGCTGGTCCCCAGTGGCACAGAGGTGAATAAGACAGGCAAAGCTCCTGTCCCAAGGCTTCCACACCTCGTTGCTTCGTTAGCTCTGTTTGTTCAAGATTTCGAACCTCAAATCACTGCGGACACCAGGGAGAGAGATTGTCCAAAATGTGTTTAGTGTCAGGCGCAGAATGGGATGGGAATCGCTGAACCCCTGGGCAGAAGAAGTCAGGGTCCCAGACAGCTTTCCAGCCACCTGTCCCAGGACAGGCCGGTTCTTTGAGGCCTTGACAATTTGGAGCTTCCTTTGATCTTCCCAAGTCACACCTTTAGCCTGTGAGGTGCGTTCACTTGACCTATGGGCCATTATTTGAGTCCAGGCTCTTCCCTTTGGAAATGTAGTAGAGGTTCTACTGGGCTTGAGGTTCTACCAGCAGGAGAGAGGGGAGTGGTGCCCCTGAGTCAGTCCCAGAGGTGGGGGTGAGCAGGAAACCCTGGCCTGAGCCATGAGTGACTACAACCCTGACTTGTGATGGCTCCTCAACAGTGTTTGCTGCTCCCATTCATTTATGTCTGCCTTTAACATTGAGTAAGCTCCTACTGTGTACCAGGAGTCCTGTAAGCACTGACAATGAGAGATGGCCAAAACACTGTCCCTGTTTCAAGAGATAGTTGTTGTGTGTTTTTTATGGGGGTTTTTTTTTGGGGGGGGGGATAAATATGAGGAGAAATAATAAAACTGCATAATCAAAGAGCTATGGGCAGAGGGAGAAACCTTCACAGATAAGGTAATATTTCAACTTGATCTTGACATATGACCGGAGAGAAGGAGAAAAGCCATTGTAGGAGGAAGCAAAAGCACCAAGTGCCCCCTCTCTGTGCTTTTATCAGAAAGAGAAGTGGACAGGAGGATGGAGGAAGGGCTGTCAGGGGGAGGGGTGGGGCAGCCAGAACCTCATATCCTCTCCTGCTGTCCTCACCTACGATTTCTCCTTCGCCATCCTTTCATCGAGTCCAGAGACACATGCCACGCCCAGAGCCTGATCTTTCCTTCTGCATCCGTATCTCACCTTTTAATTGCCCCAGACATGAATTTATCCTGAGCTGTAGATGATCTATGAGGCCTAAAGGGAGGGCTCAAGGGTATGTGTATTTGGACAGTTTTCAAAATTGTTAGCCAAAGAATCGCTGCTCTGAATGGGTCTTTAGATGTCAGACCATAGACAGAGAGAGAGGATTGTGGAAATGGGGAAGGGACACGGAAATGAGGTCTTGTCAGAGAAACTCTGAATTACCAAACTCTCACCCTTAGATTCTAGCCTCCGGGCCTTAGGTAGCGCCATTCATTGAGACCTCCTGAATTCTCAGCCATCCCGACACCTGGCCAGTCACGGCGCCTGGCAGGAGCAGGGGGCCCAGAGCCGTCCTCCTGCCCTGAGCACCCTGAGCACCTGCAGTGGTGATGCCACACCTTCCTGAGTCTAGTCCCATGTTTCCTGCCGAGCCTCATGCATCTGCATTGGGCTTGCAGCTAGGTGAGTTGAAAGATCCCAGCAGGGAGCTGTACACTCATCTCATCTGATTAGGAAGATGCAGGTGTGTGAGTGAGAGCGAGGAGTGGAGGCCGCAGAGGAGCCGCAGCAATCCCGGTGGGCACTGCTGGGTGGAGGCCTTGGAGGTGGGCAGGTGCCAGAACCCGTCTCGCCTACAGGTCAGCAACTAAGAGCTCCTTTACGTGTAAGTCTATCACTTTAAGGTTTTCAGGGGACTTCAGTCAGACCAGTGAGAGCCCGTGGCCTCTGCAGCTCGAGTGAGACCGTGCACGCTCCCTGTCCCATTTCCCAGCCCCTGGCCTGGGCTCCTTGCTCGTGTGGAGCAGCTTTCCCAGTTTGCATGGGGCCTCGCCAGCCGCCAGCCGTGGTGAGCAGCCAGCTGAGCCCCACATTTTATCAATACCCTGAGTGCTCATTGCCGTTGATGTTCATTGGCACCGAGGTCATGGCTGGGACAGGGAGGCATCATGTTAGGATTGGCCCTCCTTCTGGCTCCCCAGAAAGGGCTCTGGGCCCTACCCCTTACATAGCCACCTTGGACGTGTCAGGGGACAAGGAGAGCAGTCCCTTCCCTTCCCTCCACTATGCCAGATCGACGACTCCTCTCTCCCGCCCGGGATTTCAGAATCCGCCAGAGCATAGGTTGCTCGGCAAGACCAGTGGCAACAGCTGGCCTGTGTTTGTCACAACAATAAAATCCAGCATGAAGAGTGACTCAACTCAGAGCCGCTGATCCCTCGCTCTCGCTTTGCTAACTGTCTCCGCTCCGCCTCCCCTTGGGCTTGTGGCACAACCTTTCTGCGGGAGTCAGGATGCTGGCACCAGACTCACAGTGCTGCTTTTCCTAAAAGGCCCAGGCGGCCCCCTCACCTGTCTTTAGAAAAATGCAGCAGGGAAAAAAGTCTGAATGCATTATCCATTCATTGGTTGTTGTGTTCCTCGAGGCCCTGGCTTTGCTGTCCTGGATTCAGACTCATGATCTGTCTGTTTTCTGTGGGGAGAATAAGGCGGAGGCAAAGCAAGCTTCTCCTGGCCCCTTTACATGTGCTTCTGAATTGGCTATTAACACAGAAGAGAGCTCACATGGAGGGAGTTCCTCTTCCAAGAGCCCTCCTACTCAGGCGCACCGAGGTCCTAGAGGAGGGTCCATTGTGACTCCCAGAGGCAGCAGCAGCCACAGCGGTGTCCTCGCCCAGGCACCACACAGGCCAGCGGTGTGCAGAGCGGGAAGAAAAGGGGTCTGCATGGTGTCAGTGACTCTTCCTCTTTCCTTCTGTGTTCAGCTGTAGTTAATTCCAGGATGTGTCCTAGAACTCACTATGGAACTGGAGAGCACCTTATGTCCAACTGTAGTATTTTATTGGCTCCACTTTTTTTTTCTTGGAGAAGATGCTTTGCGTTCAGCACCCGATCAGAAATGGTCCTAGTTTCCTGGGCTGAGGACCACCCGCCGTCCTGTGTGCTAGAGCGGAGCACGCAGGCGGCACAGACACCCTGGGGGTTGACCAGGTTACTGTGTTTATGTGCACAGCCATCGAGGAGGCTGCGCCGCTCTCTCTTTGGTGAATCTGCTCCTTAACTCCTCCTTCCCACGCCGTTTGAGTACATGATCCTGGCCACCATCATTGCCAACTGCATCGTCTTGGCCCTGGAGCAGCATCTTCCTGAGGATGACAAGACCCCGATGTCCCGCAGACTGGTATGTGCCTGCCTCCTCTCGCGTCTCTTTCCTCCTCCTCTTCTCCGGTTCCCTTCTCCTTTGCTCCATCACCCGGCCCTTTCCGTCCTCTCTGACCTGCAGGGCTAGGAGGAGCCCCATTGGGATGCATTAGGGCAAAATGACTGACGTCTCAGACTCCTGCTCCCAGCAAGTTCTAAGGGCATTTCAGACGCCGTGTGCACACCCCACGGCGGCCAGACAAGAAGAAAGGGCAGGGGCAGGATCCAGTCCCTTCCTTCCCTTCCTAAGGGATTGTGAAGTGACGTGAGCAAGGGAGGTCAAGGGGAGAGGACGAAGGACGCTCACAGCCCCTGTCCTCCAGCCCCCTCGCTTCCCACCTGTGCAGGTGTCCCACAGGAGAGAGGAGAGGCCAGAGCAGAGTGGAGGCCGGGGCGTGCCTTCGCCTGCCTCCCTCTCCTCTCGAAGCACAGCCCTCCGCTGACCGGCACCTCTGCTCCTCATCCCACAGGAGAAGACGGAACCCTATTTCATTGGGATCTTTTGCTTTGAAGCTGGGATCAAGATCGTGGCCCTGGGGTTCATCTTCCACAAGGGCTCATACCTCCGCAACGGCTGGAACGTCATGGACTTCATCGTGGTTCTCAGCGGGTGAGTCTTCTGGTCTCTTCTTGGTGTTGGGGGCTGCGGTGTCCTGCAGTGGCTGATGCAGTGAACCCTGGGATGGGGAGGGGATGGGACAGGAAGTTTGAGGGAGAAGTTTGAGGATAACATTCTCCCATGGGGCTGGGCCACAGAGGACCACCTGCAGGGGAGTGCGTGTCCTCTGTGCAGGTGCAGGTGGCAGTCCGCGGAGCAGCGGAACCATGGAGTCAAGGTCAGGCTGCCGCTGCTTCTGACTTCCCACCTGTGCTGGGCTAGTGCTGAGCACACGTCCCGGCTGGTCTTAGCCTGAGGGGCACCCCCAAAAGATGCGCCAAAAGATGCATCAGGTGCAGTTTTCTTTCAGAGGTTGGAGAAGACCCCAACCATATCTTCTGAACTGATGAATGAGACACATGTTCTGATGACAGTTTTTTATGATTTGCAGATTTTTCAACAGGAGGAGGCATAACATGGAGTCTCACTAATGTTTGATAAATCATTCCTTTGGAAATTAATACAGCACTGCCACACTGCAGCTGACCCAGAGTCATGGGTGGCACATTCATTTCAGTATCTGACAGATCATCTTTCCTGTGGGAAATGAATAGAGCATGCCTGCACTGGGGCTGATCCAACCCCATTGGCAGCTTAGGTGATGTGCTTGGGTTGGGGGGTGAGGGCTGTGCCTCATTTGGCTTCTGTGGTTTCCTGTTGGTCTTTGTGTCAGGTGGTTCTTGGTGCCTGCAGGGGTGGGGCAAGCCCGACCCTTGGGGGAGCCATGTCCTCTGCGGGTGTGGCAGCTAGAGACGGGGCATAGAAGTCCTCTTATCCAGGGTCTAGCAGACGGTAGTTCACACCTGTGAGGGAAAGAAGAAGATGGAGTAGAAACGTGGAGGGGAGAAATAGGAGCCCCCATTATGATAAACCAAAAGGGGAGGGGAGCAGAGTAGAAATTTCTTCCAGGGAATAGCCAGGGGCGTGGGGGGGGGGGGCAAAGCTGAGAGAGGTAAGACCTTGGAAATGTTTGCATGTATCCATTTCCCCCTGGAATAGACATAATACTCCTATTTTTAACCTTCACACCAATTGTGATAAAATGATCAGGTTGAAGGTGCAATGGACTGGAATTTACAAATGGAAGCTCGTAGGCAGCCAGCTCAACACAGGGGACAGATACATAAACAGAGATGATTATTTATGTTGGGAAAACACCTGTTGCCTTACAAAAGGATTTTCTGAAGGTTATTTTTCTAAAAGAAAATTCTGCATTTAAGATACGTTGGTGTATAAAGATACAATTTATACATAGTGTTTCAGAAGTACGTGGTCATAGAAAATGCAGCGTTCCTGGGTGATGTTTTATTATTAAGTTCTTCCAGCTTTGTAGGGATGTGATTGACAAACAAAAATTGTATATAGTTAAGATGTGCCATGTGATGTTTTGATATACGAATGCATTGTGAAATGATTACCACAATCCAACTAATTAACATATCCATCTCCTTACCTCGTTACCTTTTGTGTGTGTGGGGGGGGGGGGCGGGGGCGGCGGGTGAGAACACTTGATATCGCTCTTTTGGCAAATCTCAAGTATAAAATACATGATTATTAACTATGTCACCATGCTGTACACTAGGTCTCCAGAATGTACTCATCTATAGGTGAAAGTTTGCACCCTTTAATCGGTATCTCCCCTTTTCCCACGCTCCAGCCCCTGCTAAACCACCCTTCTTTTCCGGGGTACTCTAAGTTTGATTGTTTTTTTTTTTTCAACTTTACATACAAGTGAGATCGTATTGGACTTTGTCTTTCTGTGTCTGGCTTATTTCTTAGTATAATGTCCTCCGGGTTTATCCATGTTGTCACCAACGGCAGGACTTCCTTCTTTTTTAGGGCTGAGTAATATTCCATGGTGTGTATACTGCACGCACACACACACACACACACACACACACACCACATTCCTTATCCGTTCTTCTGTTCACAGACACCTAGACTATTCCAGCATCTTGGATACTGTGCATAAGCTGAAATGAATGTGAGAGTGCAGATGGGTCTTTTCAAGACAGTGATTGTATTGCCCTCAAATATGTACTCAGAGTGGAGTTGCTGGTCATATGGTAGTTCTATTCAGTGAGGAGCCTCCATACTGTTCTCCACAGGGCCGGCACTAATTTCCATTTCCATCCACATAGTGCACACGGGTTCCCCTTTCTCCATAACCTCACCAACGCTTATTTATTTATTTATTTATTTATTTATTTATTTATTTATTTATTTTTTGATAATAGCTGGGTGATAAATGTCCCTAAAACCAATAATACATGCTATCTAAGTGAAAGGCATAGATGAGAAGCTCAGTTACTAAGAAGAGTGATTCTGTCTAGAAGAAAAGCACTGAGACGTGTATGTGTTACACGTATTGGTCTCCCCAAGAAGCACGTGTCAGATGCCATGTGGAATTTCCCATCTCATCTGTTTGCTTGTATTTTAAACTATTACACGTTCATTAAAGAAAATACAGAAAAGTCAAACGAAGGAAAAAAACAATTCACCATTTAAGAAAAAATTCCTGATTGTTTTGTGGTATTTCCTCCCAGCGCTTGAATGCTAAGCAAGCTCCCTTTTCAATGCTTGCACTTTTGCTGCCTGTTCTCAATATAGTAAGAGCATCTTATATGTTACTCCTTATTGTCATTAAAATCCGTACTGAGTGATCAGCATTTTGTTAAGTAGATAGACACAGCGTATTTCTCCATTTTTGCAGTTATTTGACACTTAGATTGGTATTACAGATAATTATTCCGGATGCTCCAACGTACGTGGTTTGGATGTCACGCTTTAAGAGGCATTGTGACAGGCTGAAGTGCTTCTAAAGGCGAGCCTGTTTTCTGCACAGGGTCTGGGACTAGGCTGTGTGAGGCAAGGTGGAGGGCAGACAGGCGGGAGCCCAGCACTGCCTTTGAATAAGGGTTGCCGTGTGGCCGGAGGAGCAGATTTGGGGGGTCAGCAGGGTCCTTCCGTTAGCCTGGCCAAGAAGGTCCTCTGTGTCCTCACCTGCACGTCTGGGGCGCCGGTGCCGAGCCCTCGGCTAAGTCACTTGTCCCCTCTGTTCCCTCTCCACCCAGACCTCGCGTCTCTCATTCTTAGTGGCTCTTCAGACGTTGCTGACAGGCTACTGCTGTCCCCCTGAGCCAGTGGCCCTTCGCCCCGTTCTTCCTGCACCTACTGATGTCTGTCTTCTTAACTCACATGTGAACATGCTTCAGGGGAAGGGCTTGGCGTCTAGAGATGGGCGCTGAGGCCGCGGTTTTATCCCACGGGGCCGGGTGATCGGATCCCGTCTTAGTGTACACGGTGCTGCTGTCCACCACAGTGCCTCTCAGGCGCACATTTCTCAGGCTGCAACATCTCTGAAACCAGCCTGTCGCACAGTGATGGCATGCTGGAGTTTAACTGACGGCATTTCTCTTTCTCCTTCATGGTACATAAAATCATGGGGCATCGTACAGCTGTTGGGGTCTGAGATGTGTGAAATGCGTTGTGATACCGACCCGGGGAGGTGGCAGAGTAGGCCCGGGAATCGAGTCACCTGGTGCTCGGAGAGGTGAAGTGCGCAGCCCAAGATCACCTGCCTCTTGACAGCAGGTCCAGGGGTTGCCATTGTGCCTTGTGACCCAGGGCTGGTGCATTCACCCCTGCCCCGTGCAGCCCCCCTCCAGGCTGCCTGACACCACCCGCACAGCTGTCCCTGCCGGCAGCTCTGACTTCCCACCTCCGCGTCAGGCGTCACCTCCCATTGTCCTCCAGTGCACAAGAGGAGTGACAGGTACCGGAGTGCGACACAGCGCCTCTGGCTCCGGCGCACGGCTTCTCAGCTCTCGGTGTGTGACTGGAGTGGAAGGAGGGCGGGGGTGCTGAGGTGTCGCACAGCTGGCTCAGTGAAAAGCCTCTGTCGCTGACCTTTGCTAAGATGCTAAGAGATGGGGCACTGTCAGAGCACGCAGGAGCACCGCACGGCTCTGCTGGGCTGGCTGGGTTTGAGTCCATGTCTTCTTCTAAATTCTCCCATTCGACTACGCCAAGCACAGGGCAGGTTCCTTCTCGGTTCCTGCCTATCCAGGCTCCTGGGCTGCCACATTCTGCCTGCACCTCTGAACTTTTAACCTTTAGTTTTCTCAGGCCTGGAAGCTGTGGGGAGTTCATGGTGTGAAAGTTAATTTGTGTACATTATTCATCCAGTCCTCATAATCCCCCCTATGAGATCTTGTTATTTTATAGATGAAGAAACTGAGGTTCAGAGAGGACCTGTGACCCACTGGGAGGCGGGTACTGGCTCTGGCTCCAAGCTCCTTCTTCGACACTCACCTTCCCACCGGCAGTCACCTCGCAGTTTTATGGGCTTCGTGGTCTGTAGCTCCTTGAATGCACATTCCTTCCTCCCCTTGGAGCATGTGGGGTGGGCTTAGGAGGGGAGAAATCAGACAGTTGCCCCTGGCCCAAAGGTGAGGCGCATGGTGACTTGAAGAGAACCGGGGCCCCAGGTATCTCTCTGTGGTCTGGGAATACAGCTTTCTGGCCTGTGGTTAAGAAGGTAAATATGAATGCCCACAGGCTTCGGGCTGCACGTCTCTGCACGTGCCACTGGCGACAAACCGGGCGGGCCATGGCAGCTCCCCGCAATTCTGCGGCATTTCCTCGGGCCTTTTCTCTTCCCAATTCTCTTGTCTTCCCTCCCTGCCGGGTGATGCATCCTCTCCAAGGGCAGCTGAGGATATGGCCATGGCTTCCTTCTCCCTTCCATGCCCTGCCCTTGGAGTTGGCTCCAGGTTAAAGAAGCCCATGCAGCACTAACCATTCTACACCTGCTCGAAGCCCGCAGCGGCGCCCCACTGCCCTTGGCTCAAGTACCAGCTCCCCGGCTGGGCTGAGTGCCGCCCACCAGGACGCCGCGTCATGAAAACCCACAGGGCCAGCAGCCTCACTTTGGGGGGCTTGGGGAAATG